TGCATTATATAAAAAAGAAGAGTTTAAAAAAAGAAAAGAGAAGTACGACTTTGCAAATAAAAAAAAATCACAGTACAGATTCTAACTAAGGAACTACGAGCGCGAAGACGGAACGTTCCCCATGATTAAAATATTCATTATGTGCTCTTTAAACTGGGTCCTTAATGGGACGATTTTACGCATCTGTTGACTTTCAGTTCTCTTCAAATAATTGTATTACTACATAATCTTACCTAAAATAACACCTGTCTTATGTGGAGGAACAGGTAAAGGTTTATTCCCTGTTGAAATGTAAAGAAAAGAAGCATGACCTTTCGGCTGTTGAGTTTTCATCAGGTGTGATGAAGTAGTAGCTTCATCGGGCGGATCACAGCTGATGAAGGCTTAACACCCGGAGCTATGTGTTTCTTTGCGGACTATGCACGCTGAGGCAGCAACCTACTCAAACTTCTCTTATGTGCTTATGTAATCTCTTGAGAGTGTTTTGTATAACACAATGGTTAGTTCGAATGTGCTCTTATTTCCTTCCACAATCCAGAGACATACAGGTAGGTTAATTGGCTTCTGGGAAAATTGGCCCTGGTGTGAGTGTGTGTGTCTGTGTGTGACCAGCGATGGACTGTTGTCCCGTCCACGTTGTATCTTGCCTTGCGCCCGTTGCTTGCACGGGTAGGCTCCGGTTCCCCCACGACCCTGTATTGGATAAAGCAGTTAGCAATCGGAAGTATCTAATGTGCTTCCCCTGAAGTTTCCAATTCAGAAATGTATTATTAAATCTCTACCAGAACTGTAGCACGTACAACTGGAATAAAATACAACAGTAGACACTACTAACGCCGTTTAATTTTATAGATAACTCTGATTTCACTCTGGTTTTCAGCACTGTGTTCTACCGGATGAGGAGATGTATTTGTTAATAGTAAATTGTTTGGCTGCGCCTTTACAGCCACATACAAACGTTTAAATTTAAGAACCACAGCTGCAACCAAGCCTGCAGCCCTACCTTTCTCATTAGCAATAACGAGAAGCAAATGTTTTTATTCGTATTCATTATTACTCCGTCTTAAAATGGAGAGGGGTTACTTGGAACAAAACATGATTGTTTCGGAATTGCTAGAGTTTCTAGGTCAATTTGCAAGATGTAATTAATGCACCAAAGTCAAAGTCTATTTTTCCGAAGTTTGACGTGATGATAGGTTTAAAAGTTATTGATTTTATCCCAGAACATGTTATTTTCTGTGGCTCTATTCCTTCATCCGTAGTGCCTTGTATGAATTAAAGTTTCAAACATTTTTGTTCTTCAACGACCCTAGTATACAGACACCCGTGGATGCGACACATTCAGATGGAAATCTATCTGCATGCCAGTTTCATTTTTTTCATCCAAAATAAAGTCAGGCCTGCAAAAAGATATTATATTACGAAAACAGCTTCTAAGTTATTTATAAGTGAATGTGTTTTTCAGCCAAGCGTCAAAACCCCGCCATTCCATACAATTTTTAAAGTGGTTTTACATACATAAAAAGCAAGTCTTCATATTTACGAGAAAAAGTTTATCATGAAAAGTACAAACTAAGGAGAAAAACACAATATTCCAGCTGTGAACCTGCTTCAGTTAAGAGAAGTAGAAATAGAGAAAGCTAGTTTTTTTTCTGCTCCAGTTTTACCTTTCAGCATGAAATTAACTTCTGCTTATCACTGCCTAAATCGCATGCTGACGCAGCTCTCCACTCAAGCCGCTCTAGTAAATATGCAGATGGCTACACTAAAGATGTAACCGTGCAACTGGTTTTCATGCGAGATACGCAAAACGAGTATAACACAAAACGAGTATAAACGATGAAAGTTAAAAGGTACGTAAGACACGGTAGCAAATAAACAGCATCTGTCTCAGGACTGTAATTGCTTAATAGTGCACCCTGTTGTGAAGCCTTGGTAATTTCTGGAATTAAAGTATTTTTTTCTTAATCTATTAAAAGCTAACATATCACAATACAGCGACATTCTTCGTGTCTGGATGGAGACGTATGCTCAGTTGTGTGATTTGAAGAGCATTTGTCGAATACCTGAAGCGCATCAGGAAGTCAAATACGATGAGAACACCTGTGAAATGGAAGATGTTACTGAAGGCCGTCTCCACAGCAGATGATCAGTGATCTAGAAGGGTGGTTCTTGTACCTTGTGTTACACATCTATAAAGATTTGTTCTGTGTATTGAGAAGTCGTCCTTAATGTGTTTTAATGTTATTTTGGAAGGGTTTTCGACGAATGCCTGGTGTCCATGACTTCCGACACAAATTATTAAAATAGAGGGATGACGTTCCCTGTCCCGTCGTATTGCACTCTCGCAGGTGCTGACGATAAGACTGTCGTTCAATGGACAATAATGCTCCGACCAAACCAAGCTTCCCATCTCCTGGATCAGCAGGGAATCACCAGGATATACGGAGCTGGTGGCCTTTAACCCACATGACGTCTACTTGTAGGAGAATGCATTCAACGATGGGAAACGACCTGAGAGAACACAATTCATAGAGATGTTTAACAGCTCCAGATATTTCCTTTTGTTTATAACCAGAGCTTCATTTTTACGGTCCACCTTTTTTTCCTGGCACACTTGATAATCTTGGTTGTTTAGTAATTAGGTCTATTTATGGAGAATTAGAAAGGTTTTACAAGGGATCAAGTTCTCTCGTATTTGCTCTTGAGGTTACCGTTCACTATGCTGACTGCAGATTTGTACTTTTTACTAAGACTTTTTACTCGTTAATGCTAAAGGCCTGTAGTCGTTTAGATATGAAAGAGGGATGAATGATTTATAAAAGCTCCAAATGCAATAAGTCAGCGAAATATAAGAACAACACAGCATTCTGGATTATTAAAAAGACATTGTGAATTTTATCCGAATAAAATGACTTTGTATATGGAATGTATACACCAGCGCGACATTATGATCTTTCAATATCAAATGTGACTCTCCAAACAGCATATTCCAATTAATTGGGTACCGATGAACACTAACTACCGAATCACTAGGCCGAAGGGTTTAAATATTTTTTTTACATTAAATCCAACAGGAAATCACCAGTTAATTCCACAAAGCACCCGATATCTAATACGTAATTAGGACTTACTTATGCCCGCCCGTTTCTGTATTATAACTGAGAACTTTAAAGAGCAACAATATGAATAAATTTAACGTTACTGTTACCGTATTTGGGAAAGAATATTAATATCATTTTCAGGAAGAAAAATAATAGTCATAGTGGTGATTTGCGTTGTTCGAATCACATTTGAAATCTGAGCTCACGAAGGCATTCAAAACACAAAATTTGTTTTCGGGTATAAACGGAGTTGGCAGTGAATAGCAAAGAGTAATTGAAGTGGTCTGTAAAATGAAGCCAATCTAAATAGCTGAATATCACGCGAGTAACAGTTAATAGCTTGATATCATGCGAGAAACAGAAAGTTTCCAAATTGTTTCAGACATAAAGCACCGAAAACGAATAACATTTACTGTATTTAAGCAGCCGAGTGATAATACACTACCTTACGTTTTTCGGGGGAAAATGTGAAACACAAAATGAAAGCAGAGGCTATAGCATACAATTACCAACGCAGGAGACGTACCACCAAACGTATTAATGTCTCCTGGCCAAACACACAGCTTCAAAGGAGCGACAGACTCTGGAGGACTAATGAATGATTCGCTTTTGTACAATCCACCATCTGTAGTCAACTATTAAGGCGCTCGCCAATAGTCTGCAATGCTGACCACCCAAATTTTGAAATGCATAAATTTCTATAGCAACAAGGAAAAGCGATTAAAAAGAACGTAGCTGTTGAGAGGGAGATAATTTCGATCTTTATTCTTTGTTAGGAGTAACTTATAAACCTTAGCTGTTTAGATTGTAAGGAGTTCGAATCCATCAAATACAGTGAAATGTTAAGTAAATATTTATGTTTCTACAATTTGCGTACAGTAGGCCCTCCTCTGAAAACTTTAATCTGGTTAAACCCAGACACCTCGTAACCGAGGCACAGGAAGAATGAAAAAAATGACTAATAGTACACTGTTTAAAAGTTAAGAACTTTTTTTCTTCCATCTTAAAACGGACTTTATAGTCTTTTCCTTCAGAAGTCACGGAGGGGGGCTGGGTTTGGTGGATGGTTGTGGCATTCTTATGGGAAAAATAAAATAAAAAATGAGAATTAAAAATTGACTGATCTATGTGGATAAAATAATGTATTTTAAAAAATGGAAAGAAAAAACAATCTGTAATGACCCGATCACGCCGGTGAGTTTGACATTTTATATCAGATATTTTTGTCCATTTATTGAAACATTTGAATTAAAATGTGTTTCCTTGTCCCCTGAAGGGCATTTTAAGTAGTGCAGACGTTTGGTCATATAAACGCACATCCGTTTTGTGTAAGGACGTATCCGCGACCTCCGTTTAAATGAAACTACACTGGAAGAATTAGAGTTTATTGTTTTGTAATAGAGCAATGTGTAGTATGTAATATTTTGTCACTTTTAGATTTACAAGATGTTGTCATTTACTTTGTGGGGCTGCCTCCACGTCGTCTTGTTTGCCAAATCTTTGTGAGACTTCTCTTCAGGCCTCAGATGTTAATTACCTGACCAAATTCTGCAGTTAGCGAGAGTAAACTGCGGTGCTTTTTTATCAGGTGAAGTGATTTTCTAGAAGTTACACTCCTTTCAGTTAACTAGGGGTCTCTTCTATAATACTAACATTATATGACGAAATAAAGGCACGACTGGTGTCAATTGTTTAATTACGTTTTCTTACGTTTTCTGAAGGGCGTAGTAAAATAATTACACGTGTCTCATTTTGACACGGACGTACGTGTTGTCAACATAGGTGCCTAGGTTTCTTCATGAGTTTCATATGGAAAGACTTGGTGAACCACTTCTGACATCGCATTTAACCCAGGAAATGCAGCGGAAAAACGTGCGAACTGCGGTTTTTACATACCCGGTGTGGACATCAGTGCACAGTGACGGTCCTGAGCCGAGAGACAGTTCAGGCGTCTGTTTTTTAGGGAACCAACCAGGGCTGTTGGAAGTCGTCAAACTAATTCGTTTCCAATGAAGGTGGCTGCTCGTTCCCATTTGCCTCCTGGGAAAATTAAGTCTTTTGAGTCCAAAGGCAAAGTGTGCGGTAATATTCACTGATCAGCCATCATCTCAGAGGAAATGACCGGTGCTCTCCAGACTAATAAGGCAGGTTGTCAGGACATGATATACTATGTTTGTCATAAACATTTAATGTGCCAGAAATCTCACTCGTTATGATGTTAAATGTTATTTTATTTTATAAGGACTGCTAGCCAGGCTCTGGGAAATCATGTAGTTATGTCGATGACTTTGTCACGCTTCGTTGCAATTCTTTCGCTCGAAGCTCTTTATCGATCAGGACACCTCATCTGTCTTTCACTTCTATGGATTTCTGATATAACCTCTTGCGACTCTGTTGTTGTAACAGAAATGCGGCGGACAGCGATGAAATAAAACCAGTGATCACTGAAAACTATGATCACCTTTACTCTTAAGGTACCTGCTTGAAATTCATGAAGTGCTGTCAAAATCTTTTTTTTTCTTTTACTTAAGATTGAAAGCATCAATACATAAATTCACACGGGACATCCCGTACTGGAAGCGATATATGTGCATTACGTACAGGGGCACAGAGAGAGGGGAAGAAAGAATTAGGTCAGGACATTGTTCAATTTGGGATAATGGGAATTGCAATGTTTGCTTTTTTAAATGACCACAGTTCTTGTAATAGGACCGTTCTTTCATTTTCCAGTAGCCGATGTTATTTGCTTTTTATGACAGTCATGACAAAGGAGCCTCACTGCAACAACTTTTGTTTCATTCTGATTACTCGCTAGAACAAGTTCTTTCCCATTTAGTCTCTACACGATCCTCACTTCAATAACGGCGGGCTGCTGTCATTTACAGAGACACACATACAAACTTCAACTCGCCTAAACAACTATAGCGCTCAGTCACGTGGCCTTCCGACACAAACGCTTTGATACTAAAGATGCATTAACACTCCTTCGAATCATCACTCACACCTTGATGAAGATTGCTTAGCACCGTAAAGAATAAACCATAGACCTTTCTTGAGAAGATTAACGTTTAACACTCAATTTCTGAAGGCTAAGGACCAGAGACTGTCACGTTTTTCAACAGATAGGGTAGCTTTGTGGTGATCTGCGGAACGTTTTCAAAAATTTAAACTTTTGAGAATATTTCATTTTGTTTAAATTAAAAAAAGAAACAATGGAAAAGCAAGTAGCAGTCGAAGACTATAGATGAAATAATTAAAATAATAGCAATGTAAGTGAATGTGAAAGAGATTCCAATCCTTTTCCATTACCTTCGAATTGAATTGAGCGTGTATTTTATTTCGTCTCATACACAGCAAAAGACAGACCTTAACGCATTTTAATCTCACTGCATTTAGCTTCAATCTTGTGAAAACTTATACTTGGGATATGAAATTCATACTAAAGTTTTCCGCTCAGCAAAAAAAAAAACTGTTCGCCTTCTACCAACTGAACAATCCTGTAAGGAGAAGCAAAACAATAAAAATCGACGCAAGAAAAATAATTCCCGTATTTAATTATTGCCTTTATCTCAGGCAATTTATGCACAGAATGTTTTGTTGAGTTTCTTAACTGGCAGGCGACTGAAAAGCCAAATAATGCAATTCTAGGTCGAGATGGCTACCAAGCGAGAAGATCAAGATATAGTGTGGACACCTTCTTTTTCTTCTATATCTGTATACTCGTGTCTCTGCATTAGTAAAGTTTATCTATTGGTACATGTATTGGAAGTATGGTCTGATTTGTGGTAGAATACTTCTCTATAGTAAGTATATTTGCATTTCACAGAAACAAAAATAAAGTAACAGCCTGTTAACTTCTGAAAAATTCGAATGCAGGTTTACAGTCTTTACGATAAGGCCTCGTGCTATTTCCGTCAAATAAGTTTTCATGGTTACCGTTCTTTATAAACTTGGCGTTTAAAGAAATCGTACAACTGTGTTTTATCTTGTGTTTTTGCTGCCAAACTCAGACATATACTGTATTTTCGTATTCCGAATCTAATATTAATTTCAAATAGACGTTGTAACAAATATTTCACCCTTATTTATTCGATTTCTAACAATAATCAACATTTCTGGAACTTCACAGAAAGTTCAGAAGGAGAAGGGTTTGTCGATTTCGATATACTAGCTATTTAAGCATTGTAACTTACTGTCTATACAAGGATGGGTTTAACGCGATTCCTTACTAAACTTTTGTGTTGCCACGAATTACAGTATACTCATTTTAGATAAACATTAATTAATACATTTAGTTCACAATCGCTTCAAGGAGAGTAGTTGTGCAGTGATGTGAAAAATACCGTAATTGTGTCTTTTACAAAGTAATTCAAAATCCTACTGAAATATTTTTACGACTGAAGTCCACCATGGTCGCTTGTCAATATTTTACCATGGACTAAATAGATCATAATTATATTTCATTATCCTGACCTCACAACAGTTGTAATGTCTCAGTTAGACCACACTTGGTCTGGTGTTTGTAGATAAGTTCCCAATTTTGAAATAAGGCAAATATGCTGGAATTTAGGGCAGTCAATATTTGGAGTACTATGGTACTCAAGTGTGCGCCCTTTGTATATATTCTATGGCAAATATTTTAAACATCGACATCCTTTAAATATTAAGTCTATTACTTTTTTCATCTTTCTATAGACGGGAAACCCAGAGATGACTTAAATCTACATATACGCTAAATTTGAATAGACACTATTCATTTCTAAACACGCAAAACAAAAAGAAGGGATTTATACAGACAGTATCAACGTGTTATTCGTTCAGTGACCGAAACAATTTTGAACTATAAATCTATACACTATAATAATATTGTCTACGTCCATAATGTCTTTAACACAACAGTCCGAGGTAACAAACTTGTTGCCCAAACATCTTGTACCGTTGAGTGTTGATTTGCACACATACTGTAGGTGAGGTGTGTTTTTAAACAGTTTGGAAGACAAATACACCACAAAGTGAGCGAGACATTCTTTAAAACGTACGAACATGTATAGGTTATACTGTACACTAAAAACAGTGCGAAATGACAACAGGACGTTTCGCACATTCAAAGTGCAAAACAATCGAATATATTTTAAAATATATAGTTGTGCTTAGAACCTATACTCAAAACCTAATAGGTCATGACAATATGAAAACAAAACATAAGCATGAAGTATTGAACAAGCCTTCTACTATTTCTTATAAACATAAAAAGCCAATACGTATTTCTAAATTGGTTCTTCTTAAAGAGGGCATAAGCGACCCTGTACTAATAATATCAGCACGAGAGGCTAGAGAACCAGGCAAGCGGTTGCCTAGAGACTGAGTTTTGAGAATGTTGTGTAAAACCTACAGTATGCGGCTTTCTAATAATGATTTTCCCTAAGGCTACTGAAACTGCTCACGTAGTCATGTATATACTGTACACAGAACATAAACAGCCATGAGACCCGGTGCAGAATTATCAAATTATTCCTAGTTATTTTTTAGCGCGTTTATGTCGTAAATCCAAGACAGCGACATCCACGAATACACAACCTGAGGATAAATTCATACACGTTTTTATTTTCAGAGTTGTGTGCGTGTGTGTGTGTGAGAGAGAGAGTGGGGGCTTCAATAAAAATCCAAGCATTGAAAGGATCACTCACCATACATATCCTAGCTGAAGGAAAGTAGGCTACTGGCATGTTACAAATGCCTCCTTCTTCTCCCCCAGAAGAGAACTTTCCTTCTAGAGCCGTGATGGCCGTGTCAGCCCGTGCCTCTTACAATCATAACGCTATTTTATTTTCTATTTTCTGTCTTCAGACTATGAAAGTGGAACGGACATGCCTCGCAGGCGCCCGAAAGTCACATGCAGATCACAGTACGTATCTCGTAGTGAGCTCTTGAGTTTAGAGTTGCCCCCGGCGGCTCAAGTATTAGTTTATCTTGGCATGGGTTTGCTGGGTTACCTTTTTATCATTGCAAATAATTGGTTCCCATACTTCAATGTGTGAACCACCGGGTTATCATTAACTAAATATAGAGCAGTCCGGTTGTCACGGAGGTGTCTGAGCAATCATTTGTCATGTTTTGAGCCGCAATAAAAATAAGCAGGACTAGTCCACTATAGAGAATACAGGAAAGAGAAACCTAAGAAGAAACTGAATTTCTTTTGAGCATAAATATACTTCGTTTACGCGTGCATACGCCTGTACATAATATATATATATTGACTTAGAATATATATTATAATTAATTATCAAACTCGCTCTACATGTGTTCTTATCAGTCACCTCTATGGCATTTCCTTTTAAATTCTCAACAAGGAATTAAATACTCCTGCCATATAGATGTGGATGTTATTTCTGTTTCACTCAACCATTACAAACGGGCCAGTTGCGTGATCCGTGACGTTCATGCGTTCTATAGGCGGGAGGATAGTGAGATACCAGATATTACGCCGGACAATTCTTATTTTATTGGCATGTAGCTGAAAATAAAGAGCAATATTTAACATCATGACTGAATAGGTTTAACCGTGGGCTCTGGTATTTTTCTGACCCATTCCCCCAGCACGAACAGTCCAGTAGCTGATGCACTCTTTCGATAAATACTGCATACAAAGAGAGAAGCTTCGCACTTTACACTGCAAATATCACTGTACATCACGTCTCGTCAAAGGTAAGAAGTTTTCCTCCTTCATTAAGAAAACCGTGACATTCAGAGGCGTTTACAGCACCGCGTGAGTCGCAACTCCTTCGCATTGCAATTACGTCAGGACGTGCAATTTCCTCGTCTTAAAAGGTTGCAATGCTCTGATGCGGGTTGCAGAAATGCAGCACAAATGAAATTCTTGATAGCAGAGCTTTAAAACAAGTGCAGTCGCTAGCTGCATGAGAGTGGCAAAGACGCCCTCGGAGAAAGCAGCCTTTTCAGCTGGCACGTTTCGTCGTGCGGTATGGTCGTGTTTTGTCTTAAAGCACAGCAACACAAAAACAGGTTGGAGCTATTATTTCCATATGCGGAAATAAAAATGCTATTATACTTCAGCTTGTTCTGAACAAAGAATCGTCAGACTAATTTTATTTAAAATTCTTTGTTAAGACTGATAATATTCATTGTACGCCAATACAGCAAAAAAAAAGTGTATTTCAAACATCCATTGTTTTCGCACAGTGGTAGAAAGCTTGTGTGCAGATGTAACAATTGGTGACAGTACAAACACAGCATTCGTGAGCACAACGGCTGTTAGCGGTTTAAACCTTAACGTCAGAAAACACCTTAAAATGACTCATTTCACAGAACCAGATTATAAAGTTGGCTTCAAAAACTTTAGAACATAGTTTAAGAGAATGTGTCCGAATCGAAAAATTACTGGCTCAACAAGCCACTTTTTCAGGAAGGGAGCAGGGATATTTTAATCCTAGCAGTGTGGATGTGTGATGTAACTGGCTGTAATGCAGCCTGATGTTAACGGTCACTGTTCGTCACAGAGGTAGGGAAGCTCAAACAATAAAGTCACACTTTCGTGTAACTTTTTATAAAGGCGTTTTATGAAGTCAAAGGCCTTAGTATAGGGTCTGGGATGATCCAAACCATGTCATTTATGCTCTGTCTTATCAAAAATACATCCCCAATCTGTTTCTCTTCACCCAGCAGAATGAGACAGCTCGGCTGTTTACCTCGCTTTGACCTATTCAACTTTACCCTCTAAATAATACATTTACAGACAACGGAGTAAGGGCACATCAAGATAAAACAAATCCTGCTCCTTCACTGACGGCTTGATTATTTTAATATAGAAAAGACTCGAGCTTTGTATATATTGTACCATTCACATGTAAAGGCCATAGAACATTCCCAAGCAATGGTGTGGGAGGAAATATCTTTGATCTTTCCGTTTGTTTTTTCGCGTTTTTCTTTTTCACTTGTCCTTCAGAGCATAGACTTGTTTCGTTTTCCTCCGAGTTCCAGCGACCCCTCTCTACCCTTACCGTCTCGCCTATGTGGCGTAATTTACAACGAACCCGTCAGATTTTACGAGACCAAAACATCACTGTCTTTCGGCTCGGAATACAAGAAAAAATCGCAAACAACAAAATGCCGCAGAACCTTCGTCGGTATCTTGTGAAACCACCGCGAAGGTTACCCAGTCAACGAATCTGTTCTGGTCTCTCTCTCTTTTTTTTTGTACTGTGCGTTTTTAAAAACCATCTCCTTATGACAATATGGAAATAGCAGACGAAGACGCCGGCGGATCTCGGGGTTAATTTTCTCCTGCAAACGCTTGCTC